ATCTGGCATTAGAACATCAGCTGTTCCGACTGTCATTAGTAGGGGGGCTAGCCCGTCCTGTCACCCAGACTTTGGAGACTTTTCCTCCTTGGACGCACGGACATGTCTGTGAGTGTCAGCAGGATTCACAATGCGCCTTCCCTCTGTCGTGCTTTTATGTAAGGTCGTGCTGGGAGTTTGTGTTCATGGTTGAGTGAAAAGATCAGCTTGTAGGCCTCTTTCTCCTCGAGAAGTCGACATTAGCATCTTATTGTTTGGGGGGGAATTTAGCTCAACAGGCAATATTTATTGACTTTAAAACCTTCACATGTCCTTTAAATTAGTTATCTGTGACCTTTACCAGCACAGACACCTTGGCTTCAGTTAACACTCAGCACCAGAAGTAGTACAAAGTAATAAGAAAATAGTGATAACTACCAGAGGGGCATGGTCCCGTCTTCCAGGAGTCTTGTGCCAAAAACTAAATGAATAAGTAAATAAAAGAAAAAATTTATAGCTAAAATGGTCCACATTTGCTTTCCCCTGTCCTATGTGTTTTGATTCATGCTAAGCAGTTCCTGTTCCCATCGCCCCTTGTGGAATCCTGACCCTACAGTTCTGTGGGATTTCATCCTGGTGGTTCTTTGTTTTTGTTTCGTCAAAACTGTCCACAGAACCCTGGTGGCAGCTGGCGCAGCCCACCAGACCTGCACACACATGCTCCCTGCTGCTTTAGCTCTGTTTCCAGGCAGGGCCCCCTCATTGGAAATGAGACTGGCTATATATAAACCCCCCTGAGTATTCAGACTGCAGATGAGCGGGTCCAGCACACGTGACGCCAGATGTGCTGTTATTGTTTCCAGGGAGCTTGTATCTGTGCCCATAAAAGCTCGCTTTTCTCAGCCTGATTCCATAAACATACTATTTTGTTTGTTATCCCAAAAATTCAACTCTGTGTGATTCTTAACATCATGTATTTAGAAACTTTTTTTAAAAAGTAAACATCAAGAAAATCTCAAGGTTAAAGCTGCATCCCAGATCTTCCTAGTTTCTTTGCTGGGTAGAGAGTGAGACAGGTGTACCTGTCCCTCCCCACCTGCCCCTGCTCCCTGACCCCTCCCCACCTGCCCCTTCTCACTGGCCACTCCTCACCTGCCCCTCCTCACTGGCCCCTCTCCACCTGCCCCTCCCCACTGACCCTCCCTACCATCCCCTCCTCACCCTCCCTGTCCCCATTGCCCCTTCCCCACCTGCCCCTCCTCACTGGCCCCTCCCCACCTGGCCCTTCTTCACTGCCCCCTCTCCACCTGCCCCCTCCCCTCTTGCCCCTCCTCACTGGCCCCTCCTCACCTGCCCCTCCCAACCTGCTGTTTGGAAATGGGTTCCTGTGAGCCTGTGGTTCTTCAGTATGCATAATTCACTCAACCAGTGTATTGATGGTCATTTACATAAATGTGAGCATTTCCCCAAGAATTCATTTTAACCCCATGGCCGCTATTACTGGCTTACATAATTTTTTTTTTTTAAAGAAAGACCTCAGTGTCCAGTAGTTTATCCTGGCATGTATGTTTTTAGGTAGGGCTGGGGTGGTCCCCAGAAGAATTCCATGGGCAGTGAGAGAGCCCAGTGGGGTGAGAATGCAGAGGATCCTAGCACAGGGCCCTTGAACACCACAGAACTGTGCCCCGCATGGGGCATTTCAAGGAAGGGAGAGTGGGGTCCTCTGAAAGAGCTGTCGGGCCTGCCTGCTGAGTGCCCGTGGACTCACAGAGTGGGGAGAGTCAGCCTGTAGGTATTGAGGAACAGTGGCATCACAAAGACGCCTCATGCTGAGTTGTTCAGGATTCAGCCATGTGAAATATGGGGGGATTGTAGTAAAATAATTGATAATGTGCTTTTTTACAATGTGGCTGGACAACCTTATGTATAGACCGTGGCTTTCTGTGTCCTTCTCTGAGGCATTAAGTCCAGCCAGTGTTCGTTTATGGACTGCTGTGGGGCTGGGTAGCAAGAGCCATGTCACTGGCACTGCATGGTGAAGCACTGCCCCTGTCAACCTTCTCCTAATGGGTGACAGGCCCAGAAAGTCATTGGCAGGCATCCTGCTTTCACCCCAGGGTGACATTAAGAAAACCTTCTGCTGCAGCACCACCACCTTCTAGAGGCTGAGAGAAGCAGCCATTTACAAAAAGGAACCTATTTTAGGGACGGTTCACAAACCTTATTACTTTGGTGTCAGCACTGATGTCCAAGGTCATGTCATGAGTTAAATACCTTTAATTAGTTGAAATATCTTCACTTTTAATTAGTTGATGTGCTCAAAGAGTTTTTTTTTTTTTTAAATGGTCGATGTTCTTATTTAATTTCAACTGAAAGAGAAATAAATTTCAGTTGATGTTAACAAGGAATCAAAGTTTTGAACTTTCTTAAAAAACAAAAACTATGGTTTTTGGGAAAGATGCTCAGAAAGCAGTAGCAGTAGTTTTCTTTGTAACTCAGGTCTCAGAGACACATCATTTCTTATTGTCTTCATTCTGTTCACATAGCTTTTAGGACTCACCTGATTGCTGGGTGTGGTGGCACATATCTATAGGGAGGCTGAGGCAGGAGGATCACAAGTTCAAGCCCAGCCTAGGCAATTTAGGGAGTCCCCAAGTAACTTAGCAAAAACCTGTCTTAAATAAAAAAAAAACAAAACAAAACAAAACCAAAAAGGGCTCAGGATGTTGCTCACAGGCAAAGCACCGCTGGGTTCAATCTCCAATTAAAAAAAAAAAAAAATTGCTGTTTCCCTCTTGGGCCCTGAGACCTCTGTGGTGCTGGTACACTTCTGAAGCAGCCTGTGGTTTTATATTATGTCTCATAAGATCAGGCAGTGGCTGTCCTTGCTGCCTCTCTTCTTTGGTATCCCCAGTGTCCTCTACCATAGGAGGTGCTTAGAAGTGTTTGTTGAGTGAATACCTTACTACAATATCGGAGACCGGGAGGACCCTCAGCTCCGTCCCCGGGTTCTGTAAGTAAACACAAGTGAGGCAAGGGGACTAATCTGAAGAGTGATTATGAATAGTTTAAATAATATCATCCCAGGAGTGTTGAATCGTCTCATCGCTCTCATCCGCACACTCTAGGGCTTCTTTGTGGGTGTCTGAAGACTGCTGTGATTCATGATTCACCTGGAACAGGTCACTCAGAGGTGGCACCCACTCTCTGAGACAGTCCATCCACTTAGCGCTGTGATGGTCCAGCTTTCCTGGCAGTCTCTACAGGAAGCTGGGAAAGTGAGTTGTGAAGTTCCTGAGAGGCTCGGGCCGGAGCCCCAGCCACAGAGGCTGCTTGTCCACATGTGGGGACGTCTGGGCACCGGGGCTCAACAGGTGCCGGTGGAGTGCCTGTGTCATTGGGACTTGGGAAGCTACACTGAGAGGAGGTGCACTGCAGGGCATGGGCATGTTCCAGCTGAGTGCACCCAGCTGAGGTCACAGCAGGGTCTGCGCCTAGGGCACACTGTGGTGACGGGGCTGAGCCAGGGTTCCCACTGGTGGAGGGTCTGCAGATACCCTTAGAAAGACGGTGCCCCTTAGAAAGTCGGCTTGACAGGGAAGTCTTGGTGTTTTTAGGCGGCCAGTGTGGAGACAGCTGTGGTTCATAATTGAGACCATAATCATGCTGTTTCCTATGGGCTGGTCAGTTTGACCCACAGGAGGAATCAGTGAGACTGAATTTCTGTCTTGGTCCCTGGCAGGCCACCCCTGGTCATACGGTGGTGGTGTGGTCTGAATGTCTGTGCCCCTTCACTTTCCCTGTGTCCAGTCTAGCCCTCGCTGTGCTGGTATTTAGAGGAGTGGCCTCTGGGAGTGACTAAGCCACATGGTGGGGCCTCCTCCAGGTGAGCCTTATGAGGGAGGCTGGGGCCTCAGCTGCTCCTTTTGCCCTCCTGCCCTGTGAGGGCACAGGAGGTGCCATCTGTGAGGGATTGGTCCTTGTCTGGCACCCAGTCTGCCTGAGCCTGGGTCAGGGCTCTGCAGCCTCCAGCTCTGTAGTAGTACATTTCTTTTGCTCATGAATTACCCAGTTTATTTTATTATAGCAGCAGGAAGGATCTAAGGTGGGTGAGCAGGATGAGAATGCTGGTCACACTGCGTGACACATCAGAATTCAGGGATGAATTCTAGTTGATGCTAGGCAGGGGTCAAGGTTTAGAGTAGTGTCACAGACTGGAAATCAAGGCAGGGGCTGCTGGGCTGCTGTGGGCTCTGGCGCAGCTGGCCTCTTCCAGAGAGGCACAGACTTCCTGCAGGTGGCGCTAGTGCAGCCCTCTGCTGAGATCCAAGGGCGCCTGTGGCCTGCGGGGCTCCGCCTCCTGATGGGCTCTGCAGGGTGGTGCCTTGGTAGGGCAAGGGCAACCTCCATCTCCAAGGAGGTCCTGAAATCAGACTGTTTTGCACCTGGAGGTAAAAGTGTTAAGAAAGGTTTGTGACGGCTTTGCTTTGAAGAAGAAAAAGAGTATAAATTAGAATTTAGATAACGTCTTCCTTCAGGAAACAAGAGCAGAGAGAAAGGTTCAGTTTGGGTGGGCTGTGTTCTTTCTGGGGCTTTAAGCAAAAATCTCAAACAATGAGCACCAAGCCAGGAAACGACATACCCAGGCTCCTAGGAGACTGCAAGTGTTAATATAGTTGGGCTAAAAGCATTTGATAACCTGAGTAATTAAGCAGGCTTTGGTAATTACTGGTAATACCTGGAGAAGTGCATTTCTGGGGGTGCATTGGTAGACATTGGTGTAGGGCTATTGATGGCAGTGAGGAACAGAGGGGGGTCATGGGTAGGTGAGGTGGGGCAGGGGAGTGTGCAGCCCCATGAGAACCTGGACTTTGGAGTCGCACCCCCTCACACCTTCTCTGTCTTCCTTCCCAGCCTTATACTGAGCCTCTGCTGGCGCCTCCCCACCCAGGTCTGTGAAGGGGGGGGGGGGGTTGTGACCGCATGCCTTCCATAGCGTTGTTGTGCGGATGAAGGAATTCTGTGTGTAGAGGGCTTTGGACCATGACTGGCACACACTGTACAAGATTTTATCATTATCTGTTTTTAATTTGCCTCATGAGTTTTTCTGGGAGATGTTTGTTTCTATGTATCTATAAAGAGCTGTCTTTAAATAAACATTTGTAGAATACACTGAACTTCAAAGCAGGCGTCTTGTGTGAAGTTCAGATACAGACCGCACAGAGATCGTTTCCTTTCTTTTTCCCATTTTTGTGATTGTGTAGAATTGGAAATGAAAAAAATGTGCCTCATTCTTCCCTTTGGACATTGTTCAGTCCCTCTGTAAGTCAGCTTAGCTCTTACTGACAGCTGGACCGCTGGGTTTCCATGTGGTTGAACATGTTCTTCTCTTTTTGCAAATACTGTAGCAATACAGACCAGAGTTTCCTAGGAATGTAGCCTAGGGTGCAGTCTCCCAGAGGGGAGACTCTGAGGTATTTCCTTGTTGTGGATGGTGGCTGGCCTGGGTGACGGTGTCATACCAGGGCGACCTGTGCTCTCCACCAAGCTATTCTCAGGGCGCAAGACCGGCTTATCAACATTGGAGCCTGAAATTTATATCTGTTTTTCACAGGAGGTGTATTTTTGCCTAGTTCCATGTATATTAACCAGTATTTTACAGGAATGGAGCTTTTGTTTATCTAATTTGGAAATGTCTGAGAGTTCCTCATTGTAGAAGTCACATCACTGGTGGTGGTGACATAGGGGCATTGGTCGCAACCCTGGTGGCTCTTGAGTCCCCATCATTGAATGTGTAGGTGCTGGCATCCGACATCTTCACACAGAATGACGAGTGGTATCTCCTTCACTGTTTGCAAACTGCATTGCATATCACTTGCAAATTCCTCTGATTCTCTTATTGTGATTATGGTCACACACACAGAGACAGTCAGTCTGGGTCTCACAGCTGTGACATGCATCTGTTTGGGCTATCATGATTCGGTTAAATGGACCCATCTTTCAGCAACACAAGTTGAGTTTTAGCTACCACGGTTTATTGACTGTGCATAATTGCATGAAGTATGAACTTCACTGCCAGCTCTCCCATTCATAGATCATGGTTAGGTGACCGAGCGTTTCACTTCTTTGACACCCTCTCAGTAGCAGCCCCCTGCACACCTGCTGCTACTCACTGTTCACGCACAGGCACCAGAGTTTGTGGTTGTGTTGCCTCGCTCGCCAGCAACGACAGCCTGACATTTACAAAAAGACCTCATCGAAAGAGTTGACCAATGAAGATGAACACAAAGAAGTGAAAAGGGACAGTTCAGGAAGTGAAATTCTCCTCAAATGTAAAGAGAAACCCATTAGAAGTAGCTGCTGTGGGAATGCTGGCTGGCCAGGAACCTTACCCAAGCAGGCCCACAGCTTCAGCGAGCTTGGCGTGGACAAAAGGGTGAGCAGTCCCAGGGAGAGCAGTGCTGGAGGTCCTGCTGGGTGAAGGGGCCCTTGAGTTCATTCATGACATTCAAGGGGCAAAGAACACAATGTTGGAAGGTGGTTCAGCTCAGGAGCACGACAATCCACAAGGCACAGAGGAGAGGATTGTAAGGAAAATACCAAGGAGAAGCCATCATTCAAAGGCATGCGAACAGTTCAGGCTTTTGGAGAAAGTTCATTTTTGGTAATTGACGGATGACTTTGAGCATGTCAGCCCCTGAAGCACTGGATGAGATATTTAAAGACTGTTTAGACACTGTCATGGTTTAAGGGACAGGTCTCATTTTTTTCACAGAATCCATTAACCCTGCTTACATGAACTGTGTGTTTGTGCCTGTGTACCTGTGCAAGTGTCCAGAATGCCATTGGAAAGCCTTGTATGGAGCATGTAAACCTAGACTTGGACTTGGAGGCTCTGGGAAATCTGGTGACATTTGTGACTGTGTGAGGCTAATTTAATCAGGCATTTCTGAGAGTTGTGGAAGTGCCCAGACTAAAGCATTGGGTATTCTCCTGCATAGTTCAAGATAGAAACTGGACAGTTTACTAAGAATATTTGCCTATGAAACAAATAATGGGATTTCCAACTTAGTTCTTTTATCTTAGTTTCCGAATGAAGAGGGAAAGAAATGTGTGACCATGAGCCACATTGGCCATTTTTATAATTTTAGTTGAGTTCTTCTGTGGCTTATAAGAAAAATTTAAGAGCATTCAAAGTGAAAGTTGCTGTTTGAATCTTATGGGTTTCTTGATTATTTAAAGCTGAAAGTTTCATTCTTTCCTCTTCAGTTCTGGTGTTTTTTTTTGGTGTTGTTGAAACCATTGGTAAGCTACACTTTATTTTTAATTTTTCTGTTATTTTGGAAAGGGCAGCCACTATTTTTAGTAACATTTTCACATGAAATCCCTGTGTTTCTGCCACCCTTTCAGTTCTTGTTCCCTTTTTATAGCTGTATGATGACTTCCTGTAGGTGTTAATTACTCCTTCCAGATATTTCTATCTCACCCTGCTCCAGGCGACTCAGGTAAACCTTGGAATAGGTTACATTATGGACCTCTAAGGGGAGGCTAGCCACAGTCTCAGCTGCCCTGCTGGGTGGCGGGCTGTGAGCAGCACACAGGTTGTTTCTCAGCCTGTTTTGACGCTTACCACCACGAGGTGGTGCTGGTGGGCTGGGAGTGCGCTCCAACCCCTCCCCCCCCCCCCCCAATGATAGGAAGTACTTTAGGAAGTCACTTAGGATTATCCAGAGATTGTTTTCTATCATGCTGAACTCGCTGTCATTTTACATGGTGTGTGCCTAATAAGCATTTATTGATTTGTTAGTTTCTTGTGTTTACTCAGGGAAAAATCTTTATGTACAGGGTTTGAGTAATCCTCAGCTTTATTTTGTTCTCAAGATTTTTTTTTTTGGGGGGGGGCGGTATTGCTGGGCATTGAACCCAGGGTCTTATGCATGCGAGGCAAGCACTTTACCAACTGAGCAGTCCCAGCCCCTTGAGTTTCTGTTTCCCTTAGCACATCTCATTTCTCTGTAGTGAGTGTAGCATTTCTTAAAGTGTACTCGCTTGTGTACATATGCACACACGTATAATATTTTGCCTTGAATATTTAATCTATAGTTACGCATTTTCCTAGGCAGTGTTCTCTTAAGTCTTTAGCTGAGAAATAAAATATTGCATAGTATTTGGAAATATTTATCAAGAGGCTTTATAAATACAACTGGGTCAATAATACACAAATTGAAAGATATTCTACAAGATGAGTTATTTTGAATATCAGCTTTATGGAGAATATCAAAATCCCCTTTAGGAAATTCTTTGTTTTTCTTCTGAATAAAAGGAAGAATAAGAATGGAATTTTATTGCTGTAAAAAGGATACTGAAGTGTTGCATATACATTAAGCATCCCTAATTTGCAAATCTGGAGTCTAAATGCTCAAAGACCTGACTCAGTGCCATAGTGGTAGACTCTACCTCTGGCCCCAGGTGCTGGACTACAGTTGGCACAGAGGCCACAGCAAATGTGGTGTGTTATTACCTTCTGGTCGTGTGTGTTAGGCACAGGTGAAACAAATGAGTTGTGAGAGTGTCTCTAAGATACTTCATTAGGTATGTGCAAATATTACAAAACTCTGAAACCTTCTTTCCCAAACATTTTAGATAAGAAATATTCAACCTGTTTAACCCAAAATCCTTGAATATGAGATTTTGTATTTCATATTTGAGAATATTTCCAAATTGACAATTTTGAAAAAGCAATTAAATAGATTTTTCTTTTTCTTTATTATTAATGGAATATTATGTTCTACTTTCCGACATTAGAATCATATTTTGGACTGTTTCTATTGTAATTATTTTACTCATGGAAATGATCCATTCTTTGTTTGCCTGGATAAATGATTTGTGGGAATACAAGCCTATGATTTTGATGGCTTTTGTCACATGACTTTTTAAGAATGGGGATAATAATGCTCTCTTTCTACTTTTTCTAAGTCACTGTTTTAAGAGGTCCCATTGATTATTAAATGCCATTTCAGAGAAACAAAACCACCATCCTGTTAGATGAGCCCATAACTTAGGGCACATCTTTGTGTAAGTTTCTAATTTTAGAAACATTCAAAGGGTTTTGAAATACCCTAAAGACCTCCTAAAATGGAGGCCTGGAGCAGAGGATGGGGCCAGGTCTGGAGTAAACCCCCGAGTCTGGATGGAGCTGCGTATTCAACAGCATCCATCCCTGTGGAGTGGGTTGTAGGTGGAGGAAATGCAGTAGAGAGGGTGGTCCCGTGGCAGGAGGTTATTGTCCTCGATGGGACGCTGAGCCTCCTTGCACAGGGTGGGTGTGATTCTTCCCAGTGTCCTGGGGAGGAAGGAAGAGACCTTAGCCTTTCCTACCAGCACCTCATTGGCTCATCTATAGCACATCTTTCCTAATCCAGCTAGGGGCACAGAGCAACCAGGGTGGCCAGTGAATGACCAGGTGCGGTGTGTGCAGTTACGTATTCTAATGCCCCCTGCAGGTGTGGAGTGGACATGTTGGTGGAGGGATGGATGTTTTGATAGAAGATGTCAGATAATTGTTTTAATTCCTTTCCCACCAACTCCTCTGCCAGATGACCTCGCTTGTGGGTAGTCTGGGGTTCCTGAGGGTAGGGGGAGGTCACCCTGCATAAGTTACTCTTGCACCCTAAGTTTTGTTCACTTTCAGCTTCTGACTTAGAATTCCTCAGACAGCTCACGGGTGTGGGGTGAAGTACGTGCGTACTGTGCACGTGTGTCCCCTCTCCTTGCAACTGCAGCGCGCTCTATTAGGCAGCAGACTGCCCCCCTGCCCCTGGTCCTCCATCCGTGCTTCCCCTCTCCCTCCTAGGTCAGGGAACAAACCTGGCATTCCTCCTGGCTCTCACAGCTGGCGGTGCTGCTAACGCAGGAACCCCTGAGGTGTACATTGAAGAAAGGAAACATTCTGAGATTTAAGAGGCCACTCCTGTATATTTTGACTTGACAGTGAGCTCTGCCTTTCATCTAAGCTATAGTTTTACACCAGTATTCCTATTAGAGGTTGGGAATAATTATAGGGAAGAACATTTTACTAACAGTCTTCCTAAAGTAAAAAGATTGTTAAGTGACTGTTTGATGAATGAAATGTACTTATTAGCTAAGCCTCTGTGTTTTCTTCTCTGCCTTTAGTATGTGAGGACTTAAACTCATCAAAAAGGTAGTATGATAATGGGAAACGTCACTTCAGAGGACTATATCCAATGTAGTCTTTTCTTAATATTCATTTAAAATCATATTTAAAATCAGTTTTTTGAACTTGCCATTTTCAATATGTTGCTTTTACAGCTGAACTTCTTTCCGCTCCTCCCACCACACAATTTTTCTTATGTGCATAAGACCTTGTTAAGCACAGCCAGGGGACATTGGCCAGAGGTCTTGGAAGGCCTAGTAATCAATATTGACTCACTTATAAATAGTGGGCTGTTTGAAAACAGCCTTGTCTTTCCCAAATCTTTGTTTTTGTATTGGGGATTGAACTCAGGGGGTGCTGTACCACTGAGCTGCATCCCCAACACTAAAAAAATAAAAAAAATAAAAAAAATATTTAGAGACAGGGTCTTGGTACATTGCTTAGCACCTCGCTGAGTTGCTGAGGCTGGCTTTGAACTTTCGATCCTCCTGCCTAAGCCTCCTGAGCTGCTGCATTACAGGTGTGCACCACCACACCTGGCAGTCTTCCCCAAATCTTAACCCTCAAGGCTAAAGAGATTTCTCTTTATACTTGTGTTCTCTGCAAAAGTGACCTGGGGGCCGCAGCGTGTTCTGGGGGAAACTGCGGTGCCCCCGCCACCTCACTTTTCGCTGTGCCTGACTGCTTTTCTCAGTTCCAAATTACGCCCACTTTCACGTTCCTGTGGTTCTTTTCTAAATTCATGTTTTGATGGGCTCCAGCCACAGTAATGGAAAGTGACATTTATTTACACTCTGTACAAGGACCCCCACAGGGCCGCCCCCCGCCCCAGCCTCACACATCAGTATAGTCATAATATATGCGGACTTCTGACCTTCTGACACTCTGCAGTGACCTGATGCTCTCACTTCTGGTTCTGATATTGGATTTCTTGAACAACCTTCTTGAAAATGACCTGCACATGAAAAAGTAAATTATTGGATCCAGGCAAACGTTGCATGCAGACAAGAAAAGCGTCATTTCCTCGCAGTAGTACAGGATCTTGTGTGCGGACTCATCCAGGAGCCTGTCCAGGTGGCTGAAGGTGAAGGGGATCCTGCACAAGTGGTAGGGCAGGAAGCAGGTGAAGAACACGGCCACGACCACCCGGATGCTCTGGTTGTGCTTGCGCTTCCGGCTAGACTGGCTGATGAACTGCCGGCTGGATTTGTGGATGTACCTGGAAATGGCAATGTAGCAGCCGATCAGAATCACCAGCACTACCACGAACAGGCAGCTGTGGACATAGACGACAGCCCGATGCCACTGGATGCCTAGCGGGTTTTTGAGCCTCATGCAGTCGTGGATGTTCTCCTGGGTGGGCTGGACATTGGTGAGGATGATGTTTGGCAAGGACAGCAGAACGGTGACCGCCCACACGCAGCCAGACAGCACCTTCGTGAAGGTCACGCTGTACATGCGCGAGTCACCAAAGGGCTTCACCACCTTCAGGTAGCGGTCGATGCTGATCAGCCCGAGGAACACGATGCACGTGTACATGTTTGCGTAAAACAGAACCGACGTGTATCTGCAGAGGATGAACTTGAAGTACCAGGGGCCAAAGCCTGCGTCGTGCACAATCCGAAAGGGAAATGTCAGCGTCATGACAAGGTCAGCCACCACTATGTTCTTGAGGTAAAATATGAAGCTGGTTTTATTCCTGATGTGGAAGAAGATCCACACGGCCAGCCCATTCAGCAGGATGCTGGCCACAAACAGGACCAGGTAGAGCACAGGCAGGATGATAGTGTCAAACTCATTGTGCAGGGTGGCATTCGCTCGGAACCCAGCACTGGAGTTACTTGAGGTGAGACTCCCTTGGCCGTGAGCCCCGTCATCTGCAGGAGAAATGAAGCAGGGGACATCAGTGAGTGGCATGTTCACCTGCCAGGGCCCCCGAGCTGTGGATGTGCTGCGGTGTTGGGAGTGGGATTCAGGGTGACCTCGGGAATTTAGGAACCAATTTAGCACTTTGTTAATGCTTTGAGAGGCTAGAGAGTGGGTGGCCTCCCCTCCCCCACACCTGGTCCTGAGTGAAAAGTCATGCTCCTGATTCTCAGTGATTTGGCCTTTTGAAAATGGGCATTATCACTGTAGATTTCCCTGACTTTTAATTCAGTGTTTGTCAGCATCACAAACAGAAGGAAGAAAATTGAAATTTTCTATAACAAGAAAGTAACATCCAGTGGGATGGTGATTTCTCCCTGGTCTTTGCCGCACTCTGCAGGTCCCCAACCCCCAGCATACCTGGTTTAAGCTGCGTGGTCCTCAGGAGTGGGGAAGGAGTTATTTTGAATTTTTGCCTGTGAATTCCTTATAATACTTGTGATTCTTTAAAAATAAATATTAAATTTTTTTTAAATAAAAAGAAAATTTGTCTTCTAAAGTACAGCAAAGTCTAGGGTAGAAGTAAACCGACTTGCTCATTCTTCTAGGTCCATTTTCATTATTGTAGAAGTAATTAAGTTATAGGTAGGTGTGAAATCCCTAAGATAACCCGGGCTTGGATTACAGTCATCCCTAACTGTCATCCTCCGTCTAGTGTATGTTTCGTAAAATGTGTTTGCATGGCTGAGAAGATCCACAGTCAAACACTGTTGTGTGGTCCAGTGGAAAAGCGCTGATTTTGTTTTCTGCTTGTTAGTATTTAAGTTTATGACCAAGGAACGCACTTGTTAAAGTAATTGCCGCCTGCTACAGTCGTCTTATTTACAAGGCTAGATTATACCTCTCATGCTTATTGCATGAGTTTCTAAAAATTTTAGCTTTCTTGAATTTTTGGCTCATGTGAATGAAGAATTCTCTCATACCATCCATCACATGGTCATGGAAATGGTTTACAAGCATTTATGTGCCAGCCATGAAAATGACCCCTGATCCCGTGTGTGGGAAGTGTGGAGGGACGGCTGCGGCTCTGTGCTCTATACCCCCCGCCACCTTCCTGCAGGGACACGCTTGCTCCCCAGGACTGTTCCCCTGTCACTGCACGGGGCAGGATGCTCAGACCAGCCTGCTGTGCTTCCTGCCAGTGGCTAGAGGTCCCTGAGCAGTCTCCTGGGAGCCTCCCCCTGGGCTGTGCTCTGGCTCTGACTCCTCAGCCTGCCCCTCTCTCCTCACAGCTGTCTGAGGGCCACTTCTCTCTCTGGCCTCTACCCAGTTTCCTTAGAAGCCACTTCCCCCAGTGAAGCTCTTGGCCATTTGGTCTCAATTTGCCATCTGCCCTTTTAGAGAGCCCTGACTGACACAATTTACAAATTTACTTTTTAAGAAGAAGATCACTTTCGAATTTTTACTTCCTGCTAATTAATAATATTTATTATAGTTGCATTTGTGTTTTAGAACGGTCTTATTTAGGTTTTGGTGTGATTTTACCTGCACTTCTCTAGATGATAGTCACTGTAGGATGTATTTTGTTTTCCTTCTTTGAAGAAGTGAACTAGGAAAGATTGTTTTGGTGATTATAATCCAAAAACAGGTTCTCAAATTGCTGCCTGGAATTTCAATGCAGGTTCTTCCTGATCAGCTTGGTCCTCATTCTAATTCTTCTCCCTTTGTCCTTGCTGCATTTTAAAACCTGGTTTTCCTGGCCTAAATACTCTTGTACAGGCTACTAATTTGTCCCTGGACTAGCCTGTTATGAGACCCACAGTATTATTAAGCTTTACACGTTTAAATGCCTGATTCAGCTGCCACCCGAATTACTGCTGCCAGTTTCAAATATTGTCTTGAACAGTATCATTCAAGCCTATTTTATTTAATAAAGTGTTGTAGTCTAGGTTGATTCTGCACCAGAAGACCCAAATTAGCATCAAAGCCATTAGAAGCTTCTCAGAAGTGTACTTTTAACCAGGATTAGATATCTGCTTGAATTGATTTACCCAATTAAATGACTAGCAGTAACTTTCATCTTTCCCAGAGCGGAACCCTTAGGGAGGCAGAGGGGTCAAGGATCCAACCTAGGGATCCAGCTTGAACTGGAGCAGGCCCAGTGCTGTGCCTTGGGACAGTTGCTTCTTCACTGAGTTCCAGAGCTTTTGAAAGGCCAGTGGGGGCTCTGGGGCTCCAGCAGACTGGTTGTGGGGTGTTTCAGCTCTTGCTGTTGCCCCCGGCTCTGTGCGCAAATCCACAGTGGAAAGGAAAACCCACCCTCCTCCCGACATCCCTTGGGGATTGTGAGTCTGTTCACTATGTCATTATAATATCTTAGAGTTTAATTATATGAACCAGCACTCCTATTAGACCATCATCTACCTAGCAATTATGGATGTTATTAAAGACAGAGCCTTAAATCAGAGTGCCAAGAGACGTCTGTGTGTGTACTCCGTTCTGTACATGGAGACTGCCCAGCAGGACAGGGTTCCACTGCCCAGCAGGATAGGGCTCCACTCCACAGTGGAGTGGAGCCGTTCTGTGGCTTCGATTCAGTCTGGTGTCCAGCCTGGAGATTTTGTTACCTCCACAATAGTGGCTTCCTTTGTGTACATGGGGACGAACACTGGAACATAGATCTTGTTAAACTTGGCTAGTGAGACCTGGACCTGGGTTTACTTCATCCCCCATTCCACACTGACAGCACAGCTTAAGCAGATTACTTGTTAAAACCTGTGCAGGGTTGTTTGTGAGCTAGCCAGGTAGTGGAGGGCCAAACACGGCTGCCTAGGAGCAGGTGAAGCCCATGCCTGTGGCTCTGACAGTCTCTGGATAGCATGGAGAGTTTGGCCAGCTTTCAGGGTTGGTCTGTGTCAGGCACCTCCTGCTGCCTGCTCAGCCCTTCCTCTACCACTGCCCTGCACTTTTTAGAACTTGCGTGTGCTCAGGAGCATCTCTCTGCCAGTGTCCCCGCTCAGGGGCACGATCATGGGAACCCTACGGCTTCCTTCACCAGGCCGTTCTATCACGTGCTGAGAAAGACCCGGCCAAGCAGAACCGCCTGGGGTGTCACCTGAGGGAAGTTCGAAGCGGCTTTTGCCACATAAGGGCTGCTGGTCTCTATATTTGTTGATTTCAGGGTGGGGTGCCTGCCTGTTTAGTGCAGGTGTGATGAAGACTACGTGGGGAGCAAAGAGCAAGACTGCTGGACCTGCCCACACCTTCCCCAGCAAACAGATGGGCATATGAGAACCCTGGTTCCATAAGAAGTTACCTGTGTATGACTCACAGGTGGCAGAGAGTCATGCACGTGTGCGTGTGTGCATGTGACAGAGGTGTGTGACAGGTGGGGGTCTGGCTGCTTGTAGCGGAATGGGCATCGGTCCTCTGTGCACGCATGTGTGCATTGGAGGACTTTGTGGGCTGTGTGGGCAGATCCAGAGCTAACCACACGTCACTTAAAATTAAAGTCCAGCTGAGCACAGGAACAAATTCCGCTTCTCCTCTGCATTACCTCTTTCAAGTGTGTGCATTCCTTACTCAATCCCCATGTGGCTGTTTATTGGCTATCACAGATTTGGAGAACGTCCCAAATGATAACACTTAATGAAACTGAGTGGGTAAGAGCTGTCCTGCTGGCTCCTGAGGGTTAAACGCATGTCCAAGTGGGACACATGTCATTCTGAGCATAGCATCTGGTCCATAGGAGGTGTGTGTGCATCCTGTAAGGTACCAAATTCAGTTTGTCTTGTTGACAGTGCCACACTGGGAGTGATAGGGACTGGTGGAGAGTTCTGGCACCTCTGATTGTGGGGAAACATTGTTGCTAACTGGGGTGTGTCACTCTGGCAAAAAATATAAAAGTGCCAACCTATGTCATTGCTCTCCCTGCCATGTGGGCATGAAGTCATGCAGATTACGGGTCTGCACTGCTTGCCCCAGTGGCTCTTGTAGGAGCTCTCAAATGTGGCACAGCAGAGGGGTCAAGGTTGCCTTGTGTCCCCTGGGGGGCTTCAGCGACCCTGGTCTAGACTACCCATGTGGACAGTCAGCTGTGCTTTGCTTTCATTTGCTTGGTTTTGCAGTCTTTCTCCAGGGGGTTGGTTTTGTCCCCTCAGAGGCAGCGTCTAGATGAAGCCCAGTCTAAAGCAGTGATCCCGAGGGTGTCACCCTGGAGACACCATCCTTCTTGGCTGCCGCTTCTTACTTACTGAGAAGCAAGGCTAGCTGCTGGTTGGTGAGTGGTCCTGTAACCATGAGGGACCCCAAATCGCACACAGTGCAGAGAAGTCACTGATGGAGCACCCCCACCTCTTTCCCACGACAGCTTACTTGGTAGTCTGGCAAGTGTCAAGTTGAGCCCCATTCTTCAGTTATGCTTTGTGAGCAAAAATGCATGTCAGGACGCTCCGGGGGACGGCCGAGGCGTCGGATCAGCATCGGCGGTTCCTGGTTTGATTTCTAGAAAAAAGAAAAATGGCAAAAATTACAAAAAAACCTAACAAACAATAAAACAGTTGGGAAGGATTTTCTTTGGTTTGGGACTCAGGGGTGCTCTACCACTGAGCTACATCCCCTGCCCTTTTAATTTTTTTATTTTGAGACAGGGTCTTGCCACATTGCTGAGGCTGACCTCGCACTTGTGATCCTCCTGTCTCAGCCTCGTGAGTAGCTGGGATCATAGATCTGTGCCAGCAGGATTTTGAATATAACACATATTAACTTTTCAGTAACAAAGTCATCAGCCACCAAGATTCAGAAAGCACATGTTCTGGACGTGGACAGCCGTACCACACAAGTGGTCTCTTGTTGTGCCATTATGCACCTGCTATGAAGTGCAGGCTGTTCCTGTGCCTGCTCTCCCCCTGGAACCCTCTGTGTACCTCTGGGAAGTTGGTCAACAGCTCTGTGACCCAGTGTCCCCTTCTGAGAGAGGAGAGGCAGTAACTCTCCTGCGGGGTGGAAGGAGGGCGCGTCACAGAGGCTGGTTCTCAGTGTCCCCTCAGAAGTCTTCCCTGTCTGTCTCTCTGCGACCCCTGTCTCCTCTATTTTGTCCTTGGTGGTGGTGCTGGGTTTGTACTGACCTGAGCAGGTATAGACAAGCGCACCTGTGTTGGGACGCGTGTCCAAGTGGGATTGTTCCCACACTGGGGAAAGGCCTGCGCTGGCTTTATGGGCTTGGGTGTACCCTGCCCTGCCACCTCCTGCTCTCTGGGTTCTGGTTCTGCCTGTTTACTCACTAGCTGTGTGACACCTGCAGGCAACAAGACCCTTCTGCACTGGACTGTAACATCTGTCAGAGTCTCCACGGACTTAAGGATGGTCCTCAGAACTGGGGCCGCTGACTAGGTTTGAGTGTCTCACTCTGGCTAAATACAGCATTTAGATGTATTTAGATGCTTGGCCACGTTTTGGTGACGATAAGCCAAGATCGTATGTGTGTGTGGTTTTGAGAGCTGTGGAACACCTTGCCCTGCCCTTCTTCCCAGCACTGGCCAGAGAGGACATCCAGGGAGGTGCTCTGGGTGGTGTGCAGCCCACTGAGCTGCCTGCTCTGAGGGTGCCATGCGGGACTTGGGTGTCCCTAACTGCTCTCGCTCTTACACCACACAGCTGCCGAGACCCGAGTGGCTGCACTCCTCAGGTGCAGCAGGCCCACTGGCTCCTGTCGGCAGGTTTGCCAAGGTAGAAGGGAAGGGCCCCTGGGAGGAAAAAACAAGTAAGTCAAGAGTTGAGAGGCCTGCATCCTGTCATCGTATTCTCACTTCCATTTGCTAATGTCACCTGCAATTCGATATGAACTTAGTAGTAGATAGAAAAGAAACGCTTTTAGAAATTTCAGGAACACCCCGATTAGCTATTCTGAGGGTTTAGGCCCCTTGAATAGGCACAGGGTGTGGCAAACGGTGGGTGTGTGGAGGCATGGTCTTGGTCACTGCAGCAGAGGCAATAATGAGGCTCTCCGTGTCCCCCCTGTTCGGTGCGGCCTTGTGTTAGTTTTTACCAGATCACAGGGAGGCGAAACCACGCTTTCAGTTTACGCATGATCATTTCCCTGGGAGAGTGACTGAGGAAAGTGACCTGAGCAGCACACCTGTCACCTTAGGCCTCTCTGTCCCAACCTGTGCGGCTGTCCTGTCCCTGCTGTCCTCTGGGGCTTCCCCAGCAGAAGCTGGTAGAGGTGGTGAGAGCACAGAGCTGGCTGAGGGCCCAGACAGAACCTGGGTGAGGGGCTTGCATCCCACTTTTCTGGTAGGGGATTCACATTCAGAATATCAGAGAGGGTTCTTATTAAAAAGAAAATGACCCAGTTGGTCAACAGATTGTCTGGTCATTTCACTGAGAGACCATTAGAAACCCTGAACCTCATTCATCCGCAGAGAAACCCAAGCAAGACCACAGCTGTCACCACTTCACATCTTCAGCGATGCCTATAAATAAAAGATGGTGGCAAGTGTTTCTGAGAATGTGGAGAAACAGGGTCCCTGCATGGTGCTGATGAGAATTTTGGAACCACCTGGGCAGTTTCTGGAAAAGTTCAGCCTCAGTTTTTCAGATAAGCCAGTGGTCCTACCCCTAGGTGTACACTCACCAAGGGAAGAAAAGAGGTGCCGCGTGGACACTCACACATGGAGGTTCATAGTAGATCATGGCAGAATTTGGGGACTGCGGTGGTAGACGGAGTGTGGCACTGTCACGGGGGGATGGGGTGCTACTCAGCAATGGGAGGAGGTGAAGTCCAGCCAACATGGGGCTGGATCTCAGACACAGTTGGCAAGGAAGAGAAGCCAGACATGAAAGGCCACAGGCTGTTTAGGTGAAATGTCCAGAAAATGCAAGTCTAGGAAGGCAGGAAGCAGAGAGTGTTCCTGGCTGTGGGGCGGGGCGCCAGGGAGCTTACTGGGGAGAGGAGAGTGTGTTAGGCCCGGCTACGCCAGCCTCTCCCATTTGTGAAAACCACTGACTCATCCGCGTAACATGAATCCAAACCACAGAAGTTATATCTCAAGTTGAAAAAGGGGAAAAGCGTGCACAGAAAGGGAACAAAGCCAGGCAGATGTCTCACTGTGCCACAAGCATGAGTTCCTAAGACCAAGGAGAGGGTGCACAGGACGACTTCCTCTTTAGAGGCAGGCGGCCAAGTAAAGGGGCCACAGCAGAGCCCCACTCCTGAGCCGGGCAAGGGCCACTCACTGCTTGTGAAGAGTGTGACTAGGTTACAGGTTCCTTCTTTTGGAATTGGGACTTTAATCCAGAGGCACTAGATGTGTCTGGTGATTTGTGCTTGTTCAGGACCTACGTTCCCATTTTCTGAATTCCTGGTGAAATCCTATGGAAGACTTGGGATTCTAATTATTTCGGGAGTGGTTTTGGAGTTTCCTGGGATCAGGGAGACTCTCCGGGCTTGGTGAGTGATGTGGTGCTTCGGTGTGGCTGCTGGTTTCCTGTCTTGTCTCTTCTGCTGCTTCAGCAGATGTTCCACCAGCAGAAAGCAGGTGCTGGGAGCAGCTGCGGGATCTAATGTGAACCTCCAGGGTGAAGTCCATGGTGGAGCGAGTGGCCAGGCTGCAGTCCCAGGGAGCAGTGCATGTGGTGTAGCAGCCAGAGAGCCCTGGGGATTGCCCAGAAAGAGTTGCTGGGCAGTTCATCCTGTGGGGACGTCCAGGGACTCAGTGCAGCACCGGGCCGTTGTGCAGGCCTCAGGGGCAGGTGATGGTGTGGCCCGTGCTGCATGTGCTGTGCTGGGCCTGCTCAGGGCAGGTGACAGAGGCTTAGTAATACTTTTGAGAGGAGGAAGTGGGGCAGCAATTTCAGACAACTCTCACTGTAAAAACAACAACAACAACAACAACAACAAAAAACAAGTCTGTTATAGGAAGGACAGAGGGAGTAAGGTGGACGTGGACACAGAACTGATCAGAGTTTGCAAAGCTCATCATTTAGTGCTCAGCATTTTAAAATGAGTTTCCCAGCTCAAGGGGAATGGAAGCCCCTGCCCTGCCCCCTAGGTGCTATGGTGGAGGCCCGAAGCTAGTCTTCTGCTGACTCCTGGACTTCAGGAGCCTCCCAGTTTCCTCACCCTCCACATGACAGATGATGTGAGTGTGAGGATTTGTCCATATTGGGAGGTGGGGGTGTGGTTGCAGGAGCAGCCAGCCCAGGTGCACCAACCTCCTGCTGTGTGCTGTGATTGATAGGTAAGGTGCCTGCTGCATGGCTGCCCTGTGTCCTCCTGCACCTGTTCTTGCTGATGCTGCTGTGTGCTCTGTGGCCTCAGCTGCCCTCCAGGAGTCCTGTGACTGGCACTTGTGCTCAGCCTGCTTCAGCTTGTCTCCACCCCTTGCGCTCAGCCTGGGATCCCTGCGTGGTGTGCCCCAGGAGGCTTTACATTCTCTGCGTGTCCAGCACTTGCAGGGTGTTGCAAGAGGCGGCTTGCTGCAGAGGAATCAGGGCTTGGTTCCAGGGCTGCTCCTGGGCCGGAATCCTGCCCTGCCACCTCCAGCTCTCCAGCTCAAAGCTGATGAAACCATTGGAGAATGTGGTGTTTGTGGCAGGCCCAGGTTCCCAGTCCTTCCTGAGGCTGAGATGCTATCGCTCCTCAGGGGCCTCCTGTTTGCCTCCAGCCACCCTCAGTGGCCTCCTGGGGCTGTCTTCCTTGCTCCTGCCTTGGTTATGGTTGTGGGAACAGTGCTCCCAGGTACCAGTGTTTTCTTTGTCTTGGACTCTGAAGTCCGCACATGATTTGATTTCTCAAGCATCCCTCCCTGCAACTCTGCGACCTAGAAATTCTTTTTTCTCCCACAGGTAGGAGGATAATGAGGTTCAGACAGTTTAATTAACTTGTCCTGACTCACACAGTGAGTGATGGGGTAGAGCTGGGGTTCACATTGAATCTGATCGGAACTGAAGCTGCAGCTACTTCTGTTACACTGCTGAGGAGTAAAAGAAGGCTTCTGGGGGCTTATTTGGGAGATCGGGAAGAGGGAGGGCTCCGTTTTCCCTGCCAAACTTGTGAAGGACTGTTCAGCTTCCAAACTAGATCTCTAGTTTTATTTGCCTTAAAACATCACGAAACTTCACATAAGAATCCACATCCGGGTCCTATCCTGAATGCTGGGAAGACCTGCTGGTACCAAGCAGGGACCGTCCAGCAGTTTTAGCTGCCCTGTCCCTGGGGAATGAGCCCTTACATGCTCAAAGTGCCCCTGATGATGTCCTCCCCTCAGGATCTTGCCTGCCAGGTCCTATGGTCACTTGACTTTGCGACCCTTGGTCCAGTCACCATTTGATCCTGTGAGGTCACAGTGAACCCAGATGGCTTCTGGCACACTTTGCTTGGATTTTGTCCTCTCTTCCCGGCTCCCTCCAGCCCTACAAACCCCTTTTCTGATTTCCCTTTTGGTGTGCTTTTAAAAATGGTTCTCCTGGTACCTCTTAGTAACCTGGAAAAAATAGTTCCA